CACGGTTTGAACCTGTGCGGCCTTGGCATCACCCTCCCCTGTGGAGAAGAGGGACGTTTACTACTAAGAACCTACTAACTAACTAAAATCTACGCTACAGAGCTAATTAATTAAAAATTATTTACACACTGAGATTGTCAGATAAACCAAGACAATAACCCTCCAGCTACTGTCATGGGTGGTAAGGAACTGAGGGAGGAGTGGGTCAGCACCACTTATTCACCATTATGCTGGGGCCACTCCCTGCTGGCCCGACCTGGGGGAAAAAGGGCACATCACACCTAATTCAAATGCACATGAGCAAGCACTTAAAGAAGAAAGTATCTTCCAAAGTGAAATCAGTAGCCATGACTCCTAATTGGGAAGGTGGTTGGAGAGAGAATCAGGTCTCCTGTAGGCAAAGATACCACCTCAATTGTAGGTGTCACAACAGTGCAAAAAGGGACTTAACATTAGAGAAGAGGAAACTGGGTGGAAAGCCAATGTCTGGGCTTTGCAAAATCTTCTTTGCTGAGCTTCTGTTTCTCAGAAGGTCAAATCAGTGTTTTATTTCATTGTAATTCCTAGAGATCAGAAGAGGTGGTGGAGTAAGATGGCTCAGGCCCACCTCAGTCTGTAGACACCCTGCTTGGGAGGAGCTGGCCGTGGGGGATATATAATCACCGGTTAAAACCCTAGCTCCGGACATGTGACATTCTGCATGGTGGTCACACACAGCCCCCACTTGCAAAACAAAGAGCTGCTCACAGGCAGCTAGTTATATGGGTTCCTGCTCTTGGGGGGGAGCACCAGCAGCACAGCAAAGTTAGAGCAGCTGCCAGAAAGTGCATCCCTGCAACCGGAGAAAGTCGGGGGCAGGGAGGTATGTGTGCACAGGGGCAGGGTCTCCGTGCGCAGCTCTGTGCACAAAGACTTCGGTTTTCCAGTTGCCAATCGTCAGCCTGCCTTGCCGGGTTCTGCCCAGCGACCAGTGACATAGTGTGATCTCTGAGGTGCTATTGGGATGTTTCCCTCTCAGCCAATCGCTGCAGACCCCGTTGAGAGAGCTAGCCTGGCTGGAGAGATGGGTATTGGAGCAGAAACGGCCGGGGGGCGCGAGGTAGAACACGGAACAGCGTGCGGCCCAGAGACCGCCCCTCTCTCCACCAGCTGCAGGGACATGTGTGCCAGCTGGCAGCCAGAACCACTCTCAGCCCCCAGCATTTTAAAATTGCCCAGGGCATCTGGCGGGACCGGAGGAGCCCCCCAACCTGCCCAAAAGCCTCTTCCAGAGGGGGGATGCCCCTCTACCCCCGCACACCTCCAAGTGCACTCCACTCCCTCCAGAGCTTGCATACTCTCCCCAAGCTCGCCCTGCCCCAAAACTCCCTCGCAGAAAAAAAAGCTTTGTTTAATCTTTAATCTTTGATTAAACAAAGACTGTGAATGGCTTGCTAACTACAAAAGCAGCTTCTGCTCCCTTGGAATTCACACCTCCAGATCAGCTGCTAGAAGTGGGCCTCATCCTCCTTGATTGGATCCACCTAGTCATCTCCAGCCTGATCCTGGCCTGCATATTTATTCCTGCCTCTGGAAATTTCCACTACATGCATCTGACCAAGTGGGTCTTTGCCCACGAAAGCTTATGCTCCTACACTTCAGTTAGTCTATAAGGTGCCACAGGACTCCTCGTCGCACAAGCTGATGTGTACATTTTATTGACTGATATTTTAGAATCATCTTAAAACATTAATTTCATGAAAATGACATTGACTTTCTTCATACGTAGAAGATTTCAGCCTACTTTTTGTACAGTAGGCCTTACAGCTACTTCAAGGTGTTCTTTCCAGCATAGCTGGCCCTTTACAGATTTTCAAGCTCATATATTCAAATAAAATCTCTAAGGCTGTTAAAGATGTGATGTTCACAGGACATTAAAGGCCAGCAAACACTATACAGGTGTTACATTATACTGACATCCAACCTGTATCATGCACTGGTCAGACAAATCAACCATACCCCAAAGAACTGCTATTTGATGGTATTGTGCTACTCCAGTTTCCAACAATTCAATGAGATTATATGGTGCATAGAAGAAAGGGGAAGGTAATGGTTTGAGATGGAAAGAGAGGGATCAATTAAGCCAAAATAGTCAGCAGGTAGGGTGACCTCACAGGTGTGAAGAAATGGGATGGGGGTATGGGATAGTGGGTGTCTATATGACAAATCCCTGTATATCAGGACATCTCATTATCCTAGCAGCAGAGTGGTCCATCTGCTGCTAGTGAAGAACAGAAACAGTGGAGGAAGCAGAGAAGGAAAAGAACCAAGGATGGACACTTCTTCCTTTGGTATAGCCGTATCTGCCTTGTCACAATCTGTAACGGTGGTAGCCATGCAAATCCAGAAGACCACCTTGCTGGATCAAATCCCACTTGGCTGGCTAAAAGGGACACAATAAAATAACTTGCTTACTAGATGAGGACCTCTTATCTTTGAATTCCATGCTCTCTCTGGAAAGGTGGCCATATATCCCTGGGTATGAGTTTGCACCAGAATGGATCATGGTAGACTGCCTCCAAGCCAGGCCATGACTACCACAGATATGGGTGGAGATAACCTCTTTTTCAAGAAGGATCTCATTCTCCCACCTCCAGCACGCTAGATGCAGAAAAGGGACTTAGACTCAATGTTGTCATACTTAATTTTTAGGAATCCTTCTGCCAAGTGGAATCTTCTGCCCCAAGCTAGGCACTCAGAATCAGTATAAATGTACAGGCAGAGTGAAGCATCCTAGATGCAATTAAAAAAAAGTCATCAAGCTAAGGAGAGGAAGCTGCCTAGGATGTCCAGTAAAGAATACTGAAGTGAAGAGCAGGGGATAACTCTCACCCCCAAAGGGAGACAGGTGCCTAACAAGAAGCACCTACCTCCTCTTGAGTTTCACCATGATCCCTCCCTGGGAATTAGGTGCTAAGTCAAGTCAGTCCTTTCTTGCAAAACACAGAGGCAGTGGTCATAATGCTATTACTTACATCCAACAATGCAGCCATCAGAGCACTCTCCCAACATGTAGGTGACCCAGGTTCAGATACCCGTGCTGTCAATTTATAGAGAGGGTCCTTGAACTCAGGTCTCCCAGGTAAGTCCTAACCATTGAGTTACAGGCTATTCTGCATAAAACACTTAAATAAGCATTTGCCAAAAATGACTACAAACCAGCAGATGGGACAATATAGTAGGAGACCAAGGTTCTAGTCTCTACTTCAATTAATATTGAAATATTGTATACAAACTGGAAAAGCTTCAACAGAAACACCTACCCCTGTTGTAGCAGTTAGGGTACTCACCAGGGAAAAGGGAGGTGAGTACTCCAAATCAGAATCTGGAACAAAATGTGATTCTTGCATCTCATGCCAATGAAGATAACCTCCAGGAAAATATGCAAAACGTAGTAATCATAAAACACTGATAGATGTTAACTGTACGGACATTGAAAATTAAAATGGAGACTGTGGATTGAGAAAGAATTCAAGATGGAACCCAAGTGACTTTGCCACCAAAACACCACCTTTGCACACAGCACGTGGCTATGCTCACGGCACCATCAAGCTGCACACTGCATTGAATCTGCACAAGGCCCCAAAGTTTTGCATTGGTTACGCTTTGCCTTTTGCACTCAGGACCTTCAGTGTTGTCCCGCCTTGGGTTCTATATAATCTGGATTAGTGAGGAGATCGGATCAGCAGTTTCCTGTTCCACCCTGGAGGAGAGTCGTTCCGTTGTCTGGAGACTGCGACGAAGGCCGGGACCGTCTAGTGACGGACCAGACCTAACTCCACTGCCGCCAACAGGGTGCTCCAGTCCACAGCTGTGGCAATGCTCAGCATTGTGAACCCCAGCTACCTGCTCCCCACACCATTTGGTCATGATATATCAGAGCCTTGTTCTCCATTCGCTTGCTATGGTGAAGGCCCTCTACAGCACCAGGAACTGTTTTGCTTGCTGTCCGTGAACAGTATACTGATCCATTGCTAACGCAGGAACTAAGCAAAGAACTGAACTGTTCTGCCATACTATCACTAACACACCGGAGTTCAGGATGCCTCAGTGTTCCCCCCCTAAAGCTAACAGCAGCTAAAGGGTAGAAGGTCCTGAGCTTCAAAACCACCAGAGCCTCTGACAAACTTAGTATAGACTGTTTCATGTACCTATTCTATCTTCTATTATATCAGTGGGTGAGGGGTTGGTTAATTTGTTCAGTGTTTATAATCCATGATTTAATTTACCTATTACCTGTTGTACTTTACAATATATTCTTAAATTTGACATTCATGTCTGTGCTTCATTTTGGAGCTGAGAAATCTGCTGGTGATTAGATACGGTAGTTTTCAGGGAGGACCATCTTCTGGGACAAAGGCATTTAACGTTATTTAAGATCGGGCACATTAAATTTAGTTTGCTAGTATCACATACACTCCGAAAGGTAGAGACCCTTTGCAGCGTGAGTATTCTAGTGTTCATGTTTGCACCAGCAGGATTTGAGGAGATTATTATATAGCTGTGACCTAAAGCAGTGGAGTAGACAAAGATGACCAGACAGTCCACTTCCTGCTACTGTCCAATGCTGCAAAAGATTGCAGCAATTCAGTTTAGACTCAGACTCAGACTTTAAGGTCAGAAGGGACCATTATGATCATCTAGTCTGACCCCCTGCACAGTGCAGGCCACAGAATCTCACCCACCCCTCTTAGAATAATCCTCTCAAAGACTAATGATTTGAAGTCATCACAAAGCTAAAACTGAAACAACTTTATTCCAGAAATTCCTTTCTTCTAATTTCAAAACATTAAATGGCTAAAGACAAAATATGAAACTAAGGTCATTTTTAGTAAAATTTAACAAGGGAACATGTAATTACAATCATGTACAGTGGAATCTAATTGCAGGTGATCTAGAAGCAGGTGTGTCAAATTCATACAAGAAAAATTTAAGTTAAATAATAAAAATCTATGCAGAAGTCAGTTGGCATAGAGAATAGCTTTAATCTTAGTTGATGTATATATCAATGTTCCCACAGGTAACAGAAGGCTTTTCTTATTTCACTCTTTTTCCCCGCTGCAAAGGCCACTCATGATTTTTTTCCTCTTGTGAATGTTGTATAGAAGTACAGTCCTTTCCAAAGTTTTAAGATTACATATCTTCCCTAAACAATAATGAGCATAGAAAGGGAAAGTATGCTATCTGTTCAACTTAAAGTTCAGTGAAAGATATTGTTAAACTGCTAGCCTTCTATCTTGCCCATCAAAGAAGTGCACGAACTTCATGTATATCCTTAAGTCAAGTAATACAGTATGGGTCCCTATTTACATGTACAGCAATACAAAAAGCGTATGAGCAGGTCAGGGAAGAGAGCAATTAGAAAATCAGGTCTTGATCAAAAGATGCTACTTGTTGGAAACCAAAGATTTTGCATTTGGCTTCAGCCTTTGAAAAAAAAACTGATCAACTTGCTGTCCAGATGAAAAGCAAGCAGCAAGGAAGGGAGTATCCATTTTATGAAGACAGAATTATGGGTACACAGGTTACAAAGATAGTGGTGACTGGAAACTCCCTGGAACAAGCTTCATGCAAGGGAGAACCTTCTTTTTCTGTTCATGCTACACATTTAAATGCAATTTTTATTTAGCTAGGAGGTATACCATCAGTCCAATCACTTGTCAGCATATATTTGCTGTACCTCAAAAATAATGATGACCCTTGAGCATCATTGAGAAATCTTCAACAACTATGTCTATTTTTTCTATATCTGGAAAATTTTGTCCTAAAAAACTAAACGATAAAATGTTAAATTCTAAAACTGATTAATATTACCGGTACATTAGTTGCTCCAAAACCATCTTTAGCTTGAGCTGCTATGAAAAAATAGGGTCTATTTAATTGCTTACTGTAATATTTAAAATCCACCAGCAACTTCAGTCTGCTCCATTGTTGTAAACTTAATATTTGAAGTTTCAAAATTAAGTGTTTAGAAATAAATTGCACGCTGAATGTTACAAGTAACACATACATCATTTTTCACTTGGTCAAAACCACACTAGCAAAATGCGTTTACTGAAAACCTGTTCTTTTTTATTATGCTAATTTTAGAGAAATAGTATCAGTTCCGACAGTCCATTTCATTACATGGCTTTTCCCTCTTCTATTTGTGCAGGTGCTGAGCAGTGTTGGTTCTAGTGGTTATAAAACAGATGTTTCTCAGCATCCAAAGCTATAAATTCCAGGAAAAACAAAATTAAAATAATCTATACTCTGGTAGTTACCTTTGAAACTGGGGAAAAGACATACTATAAAGACCAGGAAAAGATTACTGATGATTAATCACCAGAAAAATATGACTTTACGTGTTAGTATACTACCTCAAATGTATTACTGTATACTGTCAATCAGTTGTGTTTTTCTCTCCCAAAGGAATACGATCCCAAAGTTGTAGCAACTGCTCACCAACCTGTGGCTCCAATTCCTGCAGACCAGAAAAAAAAATTAAGTGACCAACTGATGGCATTTTATGCTACAATACATTACAGGATGACCACAACACAAAGACACCAATTACAGCAATGGAGGTAAAGACAAAATTAGCAGTATTTGTTTTTCTGTTTTGTTTGGAAGAGTGAATCCCATTTGCTATGAATACAATCTAAGTTCAATCATTTACAGATGTTCAATAGCTATTTTACAGACATTATCTTGTTAAACACTCAAATATAATGACAAACGTGATATAAGTATATTTAGAGTACAATTAAAAATAGAAAAATTCAGTGTACAACCTAGCCTGGCTCTGCCATTAAGCAAAAGTAAAATGTTAATGTGTTCATCTAATAAATTTCTAACAAAACTGGAAGTGGTAATCCAAGTCAATCCCCACAGTTCATGAAGCAGTCAAACTGCCTGCCAGTTCCTTTTTGGCATCATCATTTAAAACATTACAGTCAAGCATATAGCAGAAAGTGTTCAAAAGACATATATTTTATGATTTCCTTCCATTTCATGAATATTCAGTAAAAAAAGGATTTATAATTCTACTTCATGCAGATTTGATTGGTTTAGAGACTAATTTCTTTTAACAACATAAAAGGAGGCTTTACAGTAGGTATAATTCACTATGACATGTACTCCATGTGTTTAAATATATGTGTTAAACACATTGGCTACGTCTAGACTGGCCACAAATTCCGGAAAAGGGATGCAAATCAGGTAAGTCAGCATAGGGAAATCCGCGGGGGATTTAAATATCACCCGTGGATTTAAATAAACATGTCCGCCGCTTTTTTTCCGGCTTGGGGAAAAGCTGGAACAAAAGCGTCTAGACTGGCACGATCCTCCGGAATAAAGCCCTTTTCCGGAGGATCTCTTTCAAGTAGGAATAAGAGATCCTCCGGAAAAGGGCTTTATTCCGGAGGATCGTGCCAGTCTAGACGCTTTTGTTCCAGCTTTTCCCCAAGCCGGAAAAAAAGTGGCGGACATGTTTATTTAAATCCGCAGGGGATATTTAAATCCCCCGCGGATTTCCCTATGCTGACTTACCTGATTTGCATCCCTTTTCCAGAATTTGTGGCCAGTCTAGACGTAGCCATTGGGAATAATAAATTAGTATGGTTTCTGCAATACAGGTTGAACCTCCCAAATCTGGGACTCTCAGTTCCAGCAACATCCATGGTCCAGAAGGAAGGACCATGGATGTTTCTGGACAAGATAGCCCCAGAGGTGGGGAACACAATCCAGCTTGGAGTCCCACAGATGCTAGGGAACCCCAGCTGGTCTGGTCCTGCAGTGGGTGGGGAGTCCAGCCCTGGGGAATCCCAGACTGGGAAGCCCCTCAAGCAGCTGAAAGGAATCCCCAGCTCCGGCTGGGAATCCTGGCGCCGTAGCTGGTGCAGGACCCTGGCAGAGAGGGGCTGGCATGGCTGGGGGAAAATTCCAGCCCGAGGAGACTGACCCGGGGGCAGCAGTGGGGAGGGAAGCCCAGGCTCTGGGGATACCCACAGCCCAGAGAACCCTGGCAGAGAGGGGCTGGCATGGCTGGGGGAAAATTCCAGCCCGAGGAGACTGACCCGGGGGCAGCAGTGGGGAGGGAAGCCCAGGCTCTGGGGATACCCACAGCCCAGAGAGAAGCCTTGACCTTCCTTGGTCCAGCAAATTCCATGGTTCAGGACCACTCAGGTCCCGAGGGTGCCGGACCAGGTGGTCCAACCTGTACTAGATCATCTGCTTTATACTGAATATCTCAAACTTCTTTTGAAAACAGGCTCCTTTTTCTTCCTAAAAGCTTGGCTGTAGGGTTTGTTAGGTAAGTTAATGGTAGTACAACCCAGTGTGACAATAACCTGAATTAATGTTTACCAGATCAGACAGGTTCAAGTGAGAGAAACTTAATAGTAAAAAAACTCCCACCATGCATTAAGATGGTTATATAAAATGGAGAATAAGGAAATCACAAAAACCACCACAGCAATATCCTTTTACATACACTGTATATTAAACACTGAGCAGTATAAAAATATTTTAAATAAGAATAAATGCTACCTGGCCATCTCTGCTTATTTGTACTTTCTTGTTATCATTCCAAGGGTTGAGTAAGTGGTGTGCAAACTGAAAGGGAAGACTTTCTTTCCGGATCCACTCCACCTTAAACACTCCTCCCAAGCCTGTAGAGCCCCAGTCCTGACTTTTTTCACGTCCTATCTCTGAAGACATTCTAGCAAAACCCTGTTGGAAAATGTGTGTTTTTTTTTTAAAGGAAATGCATATTTAAAAGACAAAGTTAATGAGATTATATATGATCACATACTATCCTTCCATGCTGGAATAAAATAGTCATTTGACATTCTTGAATTAAAGGTGCAAAGTGCTTCATTCGAACATCAATCCATTACCTCACCCCTAGGAGATGCCTATGTATATTTTATTCCTTTTCACTCTATCCCTTCATCCAGTTCATTAATGTAGATGTTGAACAAAACCAGCTCCAGGACCAGCCTCTGGATCGTTCCACTGATACTGGCTACCAACTAGACATTGAACTGTTTATCACTACTCATTGACTGACAATCTAGCCAGCTTTTTATCCACCTTATAGTCCATTCATCCAATCCATAACACTTCAGCTTACTGATGTGAATATTATATATCAAAAGCTTTGCTAAAATCAAGTTTATCATGTCCATCACTTTTTCCATATTCACAGAGCCAGTTTCATCATAAAAGACAATTAGGTTGGGTCAGGCATAACTTGTCCTTGGTGAATCCATGTTGAGCGTGTCTGATCCATTTTGAAATACTTGGAGGAGAGGAAGGTGATTTCTTGAGGACCTGCTCCATAATTTTTCCAGGGACTGAGATGAGGCTGTCCAGTCTATATGGCTTCTCTGCCTTCCCATTTTAAAAGATGGGCACTATATTTGCCTTTTTCTAATCATCTAGGCCCTCCCTTGGATTCCCATATTTTCTCAAAGATAATAGCCAATGGTTCTGCAATCACGAGCCAACTCTCTCAGTATCCTCAAATGCATTAGATCTGACCCTATGGAGTAGTGCATGTCCAGCTTTTCTAAGTAGTTCTTACTGTTCTTTTGCCACAGAGGTTTGTTCACCTTCTCTCCATACTCGGTGTAGAAGTCTGGTATATGACCCTCTCTTTGGGTCAGAAAAAGGATTGAGTACTTGAGGTTTTTTCACATCAGTCCCTAGATACCCTTACTAAATGAGGAAGGCATCCACACTTTCCCTAACCTCCTTCTTATTGCTAACATACTTGTAGAAACCCACATTATCCTTCACAACTCTTGCGACTTCAACGCCAAGTACTCTTTGGCCTTCCCGATTACATCTCTGCATGCTCAAGCCATATATTCATATTCCTGCCTAATCATCTGACTATGTTTCCACTTCTTGTAAGCTTTGTTTTTGTGTTTTAAAATTTTTCAAAGATTTCTCTGTTAAGACTAATTGGTTGCTCGCAATATTTGCTATTATTTCTACATAGTGGGAGTAGTCTTTGTAATCCATACAGAAAATGTCATGGTGACAAATGAAACTAATTGCAATTTTGCTTTAGTTTTTTTCACCTAAATGCCTGAATTAATATATTGATCAGGGAGTCCAACACTGATGTGAATTTTCCCCCAAAGTCTTGATAATTTAAACAAGAAAAAATGACTAGTATTTTATTATTTTCTATACTGAAATGCAAACAACGTTAAAAGTATGGTAAAGCAACAAAGCACATGGCAATAATATTTCCATTTTCCAGTTGGTCTATATTTATATCTAGAACATCTGACCACTGAACCAAACATCAATTGTGTAGGGGCAAGAGATCACAATCTAAATATATTTGTCATGTACAAAGAAAACAGTCTCAACTACGGCAGAGTTTTTCCCAGATACCTCTGGTTAGTGCTTTTTTTGTAAGAAGAAAGGTGCCAGTACTCCAGGCTCAAAGTTGTTGAGCAGAAAAACCCAGAAAAGTTGTTGAGCAAAAAAACAAAAAAAGCCATGCCAGGGACCAAAATGCGGTCACAGCCCCTTTAAGAGCCGAAACGCCACACTGAGAGCAGGAAAAAAACCCGCCTCTTGTCCCGAACAGGCTTCTGAGCCACCCCAAGAACACAAGTGCCAGTATGCACGGGGGAAATACCATTCCTTTTCTGTGTGCTGGGAAAATAGGTGACAGTACACCATTCCGGACAGTACCATCACAAAAAAAGCACTGGTCCTGACCAAGAAGTTAAATGTATTTAGTTTAAGATTAAAATGTTACTTGATCCTGGTGTACAAATACCTGCATGAGTAAATTTCTAACCACTGGAGGCTCTAATCTAGCAGAGCCATAACAAAAGCCAGTAGCTAGAGAGTGAAGTTAGACAAATTCAGACTAGAAATAAGGCACCAAGCTTTTAAGATCCATGCTAAATATCCCTGGAACAACTAGAGATGTGGTGGATTCTATATCACTTACCGTGTTTCAAACACAATTTCATATACTTTAGGAAAATAGATTCCAGCTCAACTACAGGTTTAAACTTTCTAGTCCAGCACTCTCTGGTCTGGCATGATCCAGTTAGTTGGATGTCCACTTATGGGTGTGGCCAAGTTTCCTGTGGTTCTATAAAGTTTGTTTACAGCTACCAGTCTTGATTCTCAGTGTTCTGCACTGTTATTTAGCTCTAATTTACCTCTAAGGCTGCGTCTAGACTGGCAAGTTTTTCCCGCAAAATCATCTGCTTTTGTGGAAAAAACTTGCCAGCTGTCTACACTGGCCGCTTGAATTTCCGGAAAAGCACTGACGATCCCATGTTGCTCCCATTCGGGCAAAAGTCTTTTTCCGAAAGACTTTTGCGCAAAAGGGCCAGTGTAGACAGCAGAGATTTCTTTTCCGCAAAAAAGCCCCGATCGCGAAAATGGCCATTGGGACTTTTTTGCGGAAAAGCGCGTCTAGATTGGCCACGGACGCTTTTGCAGAAAAGCGTCCTGCCAATCTAGACGCGCTTTTCTGAAAATGCTTTTAACGGACAACTTTTCCGTTAAAAGCATTTCCGGAAAATCATGCCAGTGTAGACATAGCCTAATGTCCTCTAGTGGCCCAGTACACAGAGGAAGTGTTGGTAATGCTGCTAGAAAATATTGACCTCCTGTGGTCTGCCAAACTTTCTGGTTCAGCACCAGCCAGATTCCGTGGGTGCCAGATTAAAGAGGTTCAACCTGTAGAAGTTGTGGACCTGATGCAGAAGTTTCAGGGTGAAATTACACGGCCTGTATTATGTGGAAGATCAGACTAGCTGATCATAAGATGGCCACACCTTCCAGCCTTAAGATCTAACGATCTAGGACAAATATTCAGCAGAGTCCCTTTATCATTACAAATTGCCAAAATAAGACCACAAATGTACATTATTACATATATGTTTTCAGCAATCAGAAAAAGAAAAGAATGAGGATACTCTTAATTATTCCCCCCTTTTGTTTTAAATTGAATTTTAATTGTTTTTTGTTTATTTCCAGAGAAATCATGGAGGACACAAACATTCTAAGACTGAATTGCATCCAGATTTCCTCAGCTTTTCTGTGGACTCAGACTTTTCTATGTTAGGAGAGATCCCAGAGAGATGAAATGTTCTCTCTATATATTATATCAGTTGTAAAGTTTTAAAATTATAAGCAAAACTCCCATTCTATGCATTGGTATTTTATTGCACAGCTATGAGACCCACCAGACTCAGCTAATTTTAAATGTTCATTTAAAACTCACCTGAAAGTGTCCTGATCCTTGAACTGAAAATACCAAATAAACCATGCTGCTTTCCCAAAAAGCTCTATTTAGTTTTCGCTCATTACTTGGAGTTGTAGACCAGATACCTTTTTGTTGAGAAATATCAAGATTTCTCAAGTTGCTACTCTTCATAATGAAGTACCGAACTGGCATATTTGGTCTAGGTGAAGGAGACTTCGATCCCTGCAAAAAAAATAGAGCAAATTACATTTCTAGTATTTAAAATTATCAGAAATTCCTTGCTTAGTCATCTTTTCACTAAGTTCTAGCAGAACTATAGACTTGCAGAAACAGGAATTTCTTACTACACCAGTACAGACTGGATAGATTTGGTTCCCATCATGTTAAAAAAAAAAAGAAAAGCACAACGAGTAACACCTGTAACTCTGTCAGCCACAGACATGCTTCTGTTGATAGAAATGTCAAGTGGTAATGTATTAACTTTCAATTTCAACAAGCCAAGTGACAAGACATGCCAACTGAAACTAGGTATTTGACTAATAGTGACTGAAGGACAAGTGTTGACACAAATCTGCAGACAGGGACTGACATGTAAGAAATTCCCATTTCTGCAGATCAACTGCCACCGCATCAGATTATGAGATAGAAGTACCACTATCCAAAATAACAAGGAGGAAGAAATTATAATAACTAGCTAAACATCCCACTTGAGATGAACCAATTAATCTTTGGCTATTGACTTAGGGAACATTAACAACGTGGGTAGGAGAATAATTCATAGGATAGCCCTAAGTATTCTGCAGCAATCAGAAACTGATAGACCTTTCATTAAAGCAGATGATCAGGCAGGCTACACATTATAAGATTAAGATAATTTATGAATGTCCTTCTCATTTCCAAGAATTGCAGTTTTTGCCCCCTCTGTATTTCAGGGTTAGGACAAAAATACCTCCTAAAAATAAAAAATCTGCCAGAGACAGAACTTGGGGATGGGGGGAGAGGGGGGTTGATATATTGCTATAAACAAGGAGCAAACAGAGCAGATCTAGTCAAAATTGCCTCCTGCCCTAAACATACTTACTGAAATGCAAGAAGCAGACTGGATCAGTATCTATGGGGATACTATGAGAAAGGGGAAGTATCAGTGACTGAAGGCATACTCTCTACAGATGTCAGGGGAGCAGGACTCAACCAGTCCATTGACATATTTGTTCTTGTGGAGTACACATACCTACCACAATGAAGCTACAAGACATAATGAAAGTTCCACAAAATTCAAATGAGAACCAGAGTGTGTCCTTGATGCACTCCATTAAAGGAAGTGGAAAGGAAAAGACACTCATTAAAGAAAGGCCACAATAGCAAGAGAAACCAGGTGCTCAAACTCAATCTACTAAGAAATTGCACACCAACTTCACTGGCAACCTGATACTTTTACTAACAATATCAGCTACAGAAGTTATTAAAATATCTTTTTACCTGACAAAATGTTTGAGTAGAGTGGCTAAATTCTGATTTAGAAAAAATTTTGTAATTAAGAAGTTTAAATTTTTCAGTTACATTAAACAGATAATCAAAGAATACAGTGTAATTCTGGTGGAAAGACCTATTTCCTATAATAGCAAGCCAGAAAGAGAGGCTGATGAACACAAAGGAAGTCAAAGTGGAAGTCACTCAAAGAAAAGGGGAGAATGAGTAACAGGTATTCAAATGCAGCAAAAGAAAATTTCAGTTAAGACAAAGTTGTTAAATTGATTGGCAATTTTACATCCAAAAATATTAATGCCCATTCACAGACACTTACCTTCCTTCCATCACCACCAAAATCACTGCACTTAATAATGAGTGGTTCTTTAAAACCAGTTTAAAAACAAATTGTGTCCTTTGGTATATATGGTTGTGACTATTTTCTTCCACTATTTGATCTGAGGAAGTGGGTCTGGCCCACGAAAGCTCATCATCTAATAAACCATCTTGTTAGTCTTTAAAGTGCTACATTGTCCTGCATTTTGCTTCAGCTACCCCAGACTAACATGGCTACATTTCTATCACTATAGCACTAAGGTAATTTATTCTAGAGTGTAAGCTCTTAAATGCATTAAATCCCTTTATATTCTTATATCACTTTATGCATCAAGACCAGAACCTTGAATAGGGTCCACAGATGCCTTTTCAAAACAAATAATAAGATGCTCTTTTTACCGCTGAAGAATATAGGCATGATTACTTTAGATTTTCTACAGTTTTTGACACTTATGAATAAGAGGACACTTTACCTTTCCAGATGATGGAGGAGAAGGACTGGCACATGGACTAGGATAACTACTACTGTCTGTGGACTTCACCGATGACTGATCTGACCTATCATCTGAATTTCGTTTAGAGTGCAAGATACCTCTTTCTTTGTATTTCTGTGGCGGATGAAATGCTGGAGACGTAGATTTCATTAGGACTCTGAGGGAGGACAGTGAAGCTATAAAACTATTCAATATAACAAATGGTTGGTACAAACAGCAATCATAGCAGAAACTTTAAAAAAGCTTCAGCTAAAGTTCCAAAAGCCTGAAGAATGACTACATGCATTATATTACTTACACAGGTTAAACAATTTTCAGTTAACTTTAAATACCAGTTATTTGTTTTGGATGATAGAGATTCTGCTGCTTCTTTCCAGAAACAAATATGGTGGAAAGGGTGCACTGCTTGCATGCTACCCCCTCAGAGGGCAGACATGTTTAGAAATATATAGTATTCTGTCACACACCGCCATACTTAAGACAGCAAGATCTTTCAGTTGGTCATCCTTCCTAATGATGCATGAGATAAAAATCATGCCCTTCTCTACCCCTCAATTAATCTGGTTCTGAATTTAACTGACTCAGAGTATCACTATTTGATAATTAAAAAATATATTCTTTTTATTTTTAAGAAAAGTTAGAACATTTTACTTTTGAAGAAACTTAACATCATAAACACATACAAGAAAGGGGAGAGACCACTGCAGGAAGCAACATTTAACATAGCAGTGGGAAACCTCAGGCTCGGGGACCAGATGCAGCCCCCAGCTTATCTGGATCCGGCCCTTAGGGCTGTGAAAGTAGAAAGAATTATACTGTAAGAGAAAGATGAATTGTGCTGTAATAATTGAATAAGTTGAAGGAATTCTGTTTGTCTTTTAAAAGGAAGAAGAAAAGTACAGGAAGTCCCCGGGTTACGTACAAGATAGGGACTGCAGGTTTGTTCTTAAGTTGAATCTGTATGTAAGTCGGAACTGGCGTCCAGATTCAGACACTGCTGAAACTGACCGCCAGTTCTGACTTACATACAGAATCAACTTAAGAACCCCAGGCGTCCCCAAGTCAGCTGCTGCTGAAACTGATCAGCAGCTGATTCCAGGAAGCCCGGGGCAGAGCAACTCTGTCTGGGGCTTCCTGTAGTCAGCGCTGGTCAGTTTCAGCAGAAGCTGACTTGGGACACCTGGGGCAGAGCAGCTGGGGTGCTGCTGGGTTGCTCCAGTAGCACCGCTCGGTGCTACTGGACCAA